GTCAAAGCAGCAGATATTTTCGTAAACGTTGCAGCCCATTTCGTAAACGTTGCAACCAATTTCGTCAAAGCTGCAGACCATTTTCGTAAACGTTGCAGCCCATTTCGTATTTGTTCCAGCCCATTTCGTAAACGTTGCAACCAATTTCGTCATTGTAACGCCCAATTCGTCACTTTTGCAAGCAATTTCGTAAACATTGCAATCAATTTCGTAAATTTCGTAGTGTGCGAATTGGTGTAATATTTTATGTTTTTGGGCGCAATGTGGCTCGGGGGGAGGGGAGGGCAGTCGCCGCCGCGGCGTGTGCGGCAGCACGAAATTCGTGAGCCAGGGGGAATGAAGCCAATTCAGGGGGGGGGGGTGAGGGCAGTCACTTACATGCGTGAGAAGCTGGAATGTTCGAGTTTACACTACTTCGCTGAGCCGCGACGGCGATTGCCCCCCCCCCAAGCCACATTGCGCCTGTATTTGTGTGTGACAAATTATAGAGCACAACTATTAGGCGTTTCAGAAAGTTCTGTCGTTTTACGGCCCCAATTTCAAATGCATGTATCTCGGCCTAAACTCTTTCGAGTTGAATAAAAAACCATTCGAATGCGCGAACCTTTCTCTATAAGAAACCGTTTTACTGGGTACGTTTGTTCAGAATGCTGGAGCTCTGGAGGCGATGAACTGAGGGAAGGTCGTTTTAGCATCATGTTGGGTTTTGATGCATTTCTCTTCAAGGAAGCTATCGAGATCGTCAGAAAGTGACAGTAGATAGATCAAGAGGTCTACTGAGTAAGATGTTCGCAGAATCACTCTGAAGTTCAGCTGGTCCAACTTGTGAAGGGTTGGCGGTGCGATGTGCGTTCCAAGACACTTTCAGGGATGTGTCCGTCCCTTTACAATGGGGAGTGCTGGACCCATGTCTTAGTGTTTTTGATGAATTTTGACGTAACGTTAAGGCTGATGTCAGAGTCCGCGATCCGTCGCGCGATTTTCGCGATTTGCGCGATTTTCGCGATTCGCGATTTTCGCGATTTGCGCGACGGGTCACGGAAATCACAAGTGCCCGATCAATACTGCAAGGTGTTCTCCAATCCGCCGCCACTTCTGCTTGATAGTGATGGCTGAATGACGACTGCTCATGATTCCACTTGTTTCATATTCAGTGTTTCAAATGTTCAAATGGGGCACTTGCAATTTTTGTGATCCGCGCGAAGCCTGCGACGTATCAGAGGAATCGAAAGTGCCCCATCACCCCCCCCCTACTTTTTTCACGTTTTATGGGCGCCGCGGCGAGCACGGCCGAGCCGGTAGCGCCCGCGAAATGTGCGGGAAATTTGAAAATGTTCCACAGTTCGCCGGCGCCTTGTGTGTGGTGTGCCTTGTGTACTCCTGTGATCATCGTAGGTTTCGCGAAAATCGCGAAAATCGCGCAAATCGAAAATCGCGAAAATCAGCGAAAGCTGCGACGGATCGCGGACTCTGACATCAGCCTAAGGCTACTCTTCCACTGCAACAGTTTCAGGTTATACGGAAGAACATGGCCAGCCGCTGGCCTCATGAAAGTTGCTATCACTCTCCTTCAGCACATTTTAAGTTTTGCACAGTTTGTAGAGCTTGATCGCCGTCGATCTATTCAGCAAAGCTTTGAGGGCTGTAAACAAGAATCAGTTCTTCATTGCACGTCGCAAATCTGTAGAAAAACGGGTCACTTTTATCACATTAAACAAGCGACAATTTGATGGACGACCCTTCAGATTGGTCACATGTCGCGGCATGTCGACAAGTCGACGATACTTCAAGTGATATATTTGGATTATTGAATCTGTTGTTTTTGATTGATTTAAAAATATGATGTGCATTACATTTTTTCTTATGACTCATCGTTTCATGTAACTTCTTTGAGATGTTGTGGAAATTCTAGCTCGTGGGTGCCGATTATGTTGTTAGATTCTTAAAAGATATGCTCGCCATACAGTATAAAAGGAGGTGAGGAGAAGGAGCCTGGCAGTTTCTGCTCCAGCCACAAGTGCTTACAAGTTCGCCTAGAAAGAGAGAAACCACAAGTGCTCCTTCGCCTCACAAGTGGAAATTGTAGGTCGATTATTGATTTGTCATAAAGCTGTGCATCAGTACAGTGTTAGGAGCAGTGGAAAAAGTCCCGCGTGGCAGTGTGAACAAGACAAGCTATTCAGAATAGCTGGCGACCAAGTACCTAGGAAACCGAACCGCCGATCCCTTTCATGGTGCATCGAGCAGTAGACGAAACCAGGTCAGTTGAAAATCTTCCTAGGTGAACAAGTGCGAAGCATTTTCCTAGGTGAACAAGTGCGAAGCATTTTTCTAGGTGAACAAGTGCACTCAAGTTCTCTAATAGTCCCAAGTGCATCGTTTCTATTCTCTTAAGCCATACAAGTGCGCTTTCATAAAGCTTTTTTTTTCTGACAATCCGTACAAGTGTGTCGGTTCCATACGCGGATATCTAACCCCTACTATGGCGTTTCAACTTACAACCCCCAAGCGTTTACTTACTATGTACTCCAATAGGTTGGAGACCGCGGTTGCTCGCTTTAAGTCAGAAAAAATTGAAGCAGCGCTCAATGTTGCCGCAGCAGATGGCGACAATCGGAACACATTCATGAGAGAAAGCATGCAAAGGCTAGAGGAAGCGATAGGGGCTTTAGAGGAGGCCGGTGGTAAGATCCGAGAACTGTTACAGGAGTATGCGGAAACCCTCAGTTCACTAGAGAACCCGCCAGAAAAAGAAACGAAAGACTTTGAGGAATACACCTCCAAGGCGGAAAAGTCACTGGTCATAGCCTTTGACTATATCGTCCTGCTCCAAGCTCGCCTAAGAGCTTTCAAGTCCTTCAAGGGTGAGTCAGGGCTAACACCCCCGACTCCAGTGCTACAAGTTCCCTCCACACCACAAAAGGTAGAGCTCCCCACGATACCAATCCCCTTTTTCAAGGGAAATATCTGGGAATGGGATAACTTTTGGGAACTTTTCAATGCGAATGTACATTCACAAGACATGCCCGCTCTCTTCAAATTCAATTACCTTTTGAATGCTCTCAAGGGAGAAGCGCTCGAATTGGTGCAGAAATTTCAAGTGACGGCAGAAAACTATCCGAATGCGATAGAATTTTTGAGGAACAAGTATGGCAACGCAGAGGAACTCGTTTTTCGACTGATCGACAAGCTCGAAAGCTGCTCTTTGCGATCGCCTGCCATACGAGATCAACGGACACTCTTTGAACAGATACAAGCCGTAGTGGAACAACTGAAAAGAAAGAACGAAGAGGTGAATAGTCAATGGCTGCTGAAAAAGATTCTGGGCAAGTTTCCACAGCACATACAACGAAAGGTGCTGATGAAAAAACAAGCAGAAAATTGCGACTTCACTATGGAAACGCTTTTGAGATATCTAGAGGATATCATTTCAAGTGAAGAGATGATCTCCATCTACGTCGGACGACCATCGTCACCGAGAACTCAGGAACGGAATGAGTATCAGAAGAAACCATTTCACAAGCCTCTTAATACTTGCATGTATTGTGGCAAAAATCACAAATCAGGAGAATGCGACAAGTACAAATCTCCACAAGAGAGATCTAACTATCTTCGGGAAAGGAAACTTTGCCTGATTTGTGCTTCACCTCGTCATGCGACGGCTCTATGTAGGAAACCTCCTTGTTTCAAGTGCAATAAAGCCGCATCACACCTCCTGCTGCTTCCAGTTTGAGCAAAGGCAACAAGTAGGGACAGAAGTTAAGAAGGATGGTAACGTAGGTTCACGCTAACTTTGTCCTTAGTGAAATCTGCTCCAACTCCTTTGCTGAACACTCCGTTTATTACCGACGGCAATTCCACCGCTATATGGAATCCGCAATTAACACCACTGTTGGAATGCCAAAATAGGTCTCAAGCCCAAACGTTTGACTGCAACATAGCAAACAAGTGCGTGTGCTACCCAGCCGAAACGCAAGCAAACTGCAATTGTGAAAATCTTAACATTTCGGCGTGGATTCATGACTTACGGCATCGACTTCCTTTGGTGTTCCCCTCGGTGATCTTCAAAAGGGACAGAGAAGGACAAGTTCATGCAACAATTCCTAGTATGACGACAGCAGAAATAATAATGACGATGCAAGGCAATCTGGAAACCGACATTTTGGTTGATGAAGCCACATGTTCGATTTCAAACGTTCTACTAACAGGTTGCTACAAATGTGCAAAAGGAGCAAGGGCGGACGTGACGTGCACATCCTCAAAACCTACTCAAGCAGAGATAATATGCGAAACCATCAGTTTCACAGTGGAATGCAACCAAGAAGGAAAGACTTCGTCATTACGCTTTAGCTTCGACACCGCAAGAATTCATCAGAAATGCAGAGCATCATGTGGGCAATCCGTGACCATTTTTGAAATCGGTGGACTATTAAAGTACCCTCACACGGCTTCCAATATGGTTGATAGATGGTTGAGAGGGGAAACAAGTAGCGAACCTGTTGGATTTCATTGGCCCGATTTTCCACATATCCTTGATGTATTCCTCATGTGGTATAAGACTCTGTTATCAGCAGTCTTGGCGCTATTGGTACTGCTCGTGCTTACTTATATTCTGATATCCGCATATGGAATACGAGTCACGAAATGGATCTTGAAAACTGTTTTCCGCATCTTGACTTTACCGGTGCTATTGTTTTTTCGTGGGGCCTCACATCTTCTGCACCAACAAGTTCGGAAAAGGCATGAGAAAAGATGGTGAAAAACAAGTAGCACATGTTAGATTAGATAGAAAAGGCGCTTGTAGCTTATGGTTAGTCATAGATTCAAAAAACCTTCATTTCAGAATGGACCCACGAAGTATGGACAGCGATTTCTTCTACATTTACAAGTATCTCCAAGGACAGTCAGTCAGTGGCTTCGAAAACGACCTAACCTTGACGATAGAAGCTATTCATCGACAAGTTTTTGTCTTTGGAACTCTGAGAAACGACTGGGAGCACCTGAAGAGCAACGAAAATTTCGTTTTGGGGGGACCAGGAGAACAAGTCCTCCTAATCATCGAGCTGCTTCGAACGGCGGAACAAGCAGTGGAGCAGATCAAGAAGCTAGCGACTCGTTTTGTTCTCACGGACCGATTATTCGAAGCACTAGTTCAGAATGGAAAGGTCAATCCCAGTCTTCGGCGAGATTGGTTACGCAAGAAGCACAAGTTCGACGTGGAAGCGGACAAAGTGCTCGAGTTTGTGGTCAGAAAAACGAGCGACTTCGAAAAAATCGTCGACGAGCTCTGCAAAGAGAAGAGAAAAGCTGAAAGGAGG